CAAACTATGGCAGGTCAAACTTCAACACTTATCAAGGCATCTTTGCAATTCTGGGTGATGATGAGGCACCTAGTTGCCTAGGTGACAAGAATTTTATAAAAAGAAACTAAAATTGGATAGTTTCCTAGTCTTATATACCTTTCAACATGCAAATTAATTGGAAAAGTAGCAATTTTTTTTAATTAACAACACTAAACTCCATCTCAAAACAAGACAAATCATTATATGCAAGACCCTAATATTTTAAATGTATTAGTTCAATATTTTCAAAAATAATACTAACATAATAAGTATTTAATAAAACTTACTCATAAAAAATGTATTCAATAAAGCAATTTCATATCAATTTAGCAACTAGAGAAAGATATAAATTTATGTGATAAAAATCTAAGATAGAGAGCAAGTAAAAGAGAAAAAGAACAAGGGTGGAGCTGCTATTTTATCTAAATTCTCCATTTGTCTATGTCATTAACTCGGAATGTTCTTAAATTAAATGTAAATAAAGGAGAAAACAATACGAAATAAGTTCAGATTGATTACAGAAAGAGAGAAAAAAGTAGACTAGAGAAGAGAATAGGGTTTAGCAGAAGAGAGATTGTAAGAGCTTAATCTCTCAAACTGCTGGCCCATCTTATTAAGTTATATGAGCACATACAATTATCAAAACACCCCTGATTACACAAAATGAATAATGATGACTGAGGCCCTGCTAACATGAATATAAAACTCTGACAGTCCCTTTCAAGGATATACCAAATCTATACTACTATTAAAAGAACAAATGGGGGTGTGGAACTTTTCTTGACTAATACCCATATTTGTGAATTTAGTCCATATCTAATTGTGAGGGCTGAAAATGTAATTTCAACTATTATTTTTTCATCTCATTTAATCCTTCATCTTAGATGTAAGGTATTAACTCCCATTCTCTCTCATTAAATCCTATTTGTTAAGTTATTTTTTTACTAATAAATTATACTAATTAGATCTATGTTCAATACTTTTAAGAATATAAAACCAATGGTTTTCAAAACCAACTCAAAAACAAAACCATTCCTCTGTCCAAGTGGTGACTAAGAAATTCAACCATCTAAATCAAATCAACCAACCCATGATATCATGATTAAATAATAAAACTTTTAAAATAGAAATAAACTAGAATTGTTTTTCTAAACGATGAAAATGAAATACGGAATTTAAAACCGACCAAAAATGAAATTGTTTTCCTATTTGGTGGCAAGTCATTAGTTCAACTTTTTGGTCAAATGTGTTAACCTTTGTGTCATAATTAAGCAATAAAAATTATTTAAAAATAAAAACACTAAAAAAGAAAAGATGCATAAGTTTGCAGAAAAATTTGGGCACATGTCTTATATTATGTTGATCATATTAAACAAAAAATAAGTGTTATAAAAAAATTGTAGAAAAATTGAACACACCTAAATCTACATTACTATTAAAAGCATGAATGAGCTTGTGGAACTTTCTTTTGAATAAAATGCATTTTTTTTTGAATTTAGTCCCTATCTAATTGTGAGGGCAAAAGATGCTGTCCAGGAGATTAAAGAGAGTGATTCATGAGGTGGTGGGAGAAACCCAAATGGCTTTTGTGGAGGGGAGGCAAATTTTGGATAGGGTGCTGGTGGTTAGTGTATTGACTTGAGTTTAAGGAGTGGGAGACCAGGGTTGGTATGTAAGCTCAATATTGAGAAAGCTTATGATCATGTGGAGTGGGATTTTCTGGAGGTGCAAAGGTTTACGGGTTTTGAGGAGAAATGGAGAAGCTGGATGTTTTCATGTGTCTCATCCATATCTTTCTCTTTAATCCTCAACGGGGTCAGGGGGTCTCTGCGGAGTTTTTCCAAGCCTCTAGGGGATTGCGGCAAGGGGATCCAATTTCCCCTTTGTTATTTGTTTTAGTCATGGAAGTGGTGAATCTACTTATGGAGAAAGATGCACAGTTGGATTGGATTGAAGGTTTTAAAGCAGGTGCTGAAGGTCATTGCATCACACATCTCCAATATGTGTATGACACCCTTGTATTCTTGGATGCCTCAGTGGACCAGGTGCTGAATTTAAGGGCCTTGCTAGCCAACTTTGAAATGTTGACAGGTCTGAAAATTAATATGAATAGAAGTCAGTTAATTGACGTAGGGGAACTAGGGAGGGAGGAGTTGGAGTATTTGGCTGCTGTTTTTGATTGCAAGACTGGGAATCTACCTTTTCTTTACTTGGGTTTACTGGTGGGGAATAAGGTTTCTGAAGTTGAAAGCTGGGGGTCAATTTGTGGAAAGGGTTGGAGAGATGGAAGGCAAAATATTTCTTTCTTGGGGGTAGAGTTACCCTCATTAGGAGTGTTCTTTCAAGTTTACCAACCTACTACTTTTCATTTTTGAAAATTCCAGCTAGGGTGGCTGAGAGAATTGGGAAAATTCAAAGGGATTTTTTATGGAAAGGATGGGGTAAGGTGTGCAGGCAAAAAGATTGATGTGGACTGGGTTTTAGGAGAATATGTATTTTGAATAAGGTTCTCTTGGGCAAATGGTTGTGGAGGTTTGGGTTAGAGAGGGAAAGGGATTCTCTTTGGAGGAGGGTGGTAGTTGGGAAGTATGGGGTGTTGAGGTTTGGGTGGAAGCTGAGGGAGATTTCAAATTCTTATGAGGTAAGTGTCTGGAAAGGGATTTATGCAGTTTAGTCAGAATTTCAGAGATTTGGTGAGTTTCAAGGTGGGGGATGGGTCAAGGGTAAAATTCTTGGAGGATGAGTGGTGTGGGGTAGGGAAATTGTGTGAGCTCTGCCCAAGTTTATACAGGTTCACCGATCATCATGTTTTGGTCAATCAATGTTTTGAGATGAGGGATGACCAGTTTGTGTGGAGTCCTAAATTTAGAAGACCCCTGCTGGATCAGGAAATTGAAGAATGTATTCTGTTACTGGAAAAGTTACAACAAACAGAGGTTTCAGCTTCTTCAAGAGATGGTCTATGGTGGAGAGAGTGTAGGGATGGAAAGTTTACAGTGAAGTCTTTCTATCTGGCTTTAGTTAAAAGATCAGATGGTTTCAAGTCAGGTGAAAATAGTTTGCGGGAACCCGGTTCAGCCTGAAGTGGAAGCTTTTGCATGGTTGGTAGCCTTGGACAGCATTCTAACTTTGGACCACTTAAAAATAAGGGGCTTCAACTTGGCAAGTTACTGTTATATTTGCTGTTCAGAAGAAGAGTCTGCTTGCCATTTGTTCTGTTCATGCAAGGTTGCAATTCTTTTGTGGAAATTCTACTCTGTCCTATTTGGAGTAAGTATTTTCCAGCTAAGGACATCAGCTGAGTTGTTCGCTTCATGGCCAAAGATCAATGGAAGCAGAAAAGCAAGAATAGTCTGGAGTTGTATCCTTTTTGCTCTGTGCTGGAGACTATTCGAAGGCTGGTTCAAAAGCATCAAGTTTCTGGTGGCTTTTGTTGGGCAATTTTTGTCAGATTGGGTTCTGGTGCTCCCTGAAGTTGATCAAATTAGCAGAATAGCAGATCAGATTTGGGGGAGAACTTTTGGAATGTTCTTGAAATCCAGAATTGTAATAGTGATCAGTTTGTATTGCTTGATCATTAGTTGTTTTGTATTGGTGAGGTGCCATCTCGTCACCTCTTAATTTATACCTCTTTTTTCTTATTAATAAAAATTTTCTTTACTCTTCAAACAAGAATGTTGTGATATTGTAATGATTGCTTAAAATTCTCTTTGTCCTTCTGGTCCGATGTATTTCTGTTTTGTCTCTTAGTCCAATTAGAATTTCTGAAGATGGTCAGATTAAATTAGTGGATTTCTCACAGAAAAATACTTCCATGCAGCAATATGAATGGTTAATTGGATCACAATACAAGCCAATGGAGCTGTCAAAGTCTGACTGGGCTCTAATCAGAAAATCTCCACCATGGGCCATTGATTCATGGGGATTAGGTTAGTCCTCTTTGCACTGCAAGTACATCAGAATATTATATGACTAACGGCTTGCTATTTCTTTGAATAATAACTTATTCAATGATGAATGAGTGATGTCTAAATGTTGCAATGTGATGATCCTGGGTGGCAGTTAGCACTTCTTATTCTCATTTAACTGGAGAATACTCTGCCTTGAATCCTTATGAGAAGTGTTTGTAACCTAAGTTTTGGTTCATTGATTACCCTTTTTAGTTTTAGTCATCATTTCTTGTAAGGTCCCCTTGGATGATGGTACGCCTTGTCCTTATTCCTTTTTTTTTTTTTTTGCTCATATTACTGGTCCATGCCCAAAAGGAAAATGTTACTGGTAGGAGGAAAAGAATGTTTGACATTCTCAAGATTGTCCATTGTGACGTTACAATGAATCGTGTATGCAGTGACACTGGAATTTGTTTGGTTATAAATTTTCTTTTCCTAATTCAAGTATTCTCTTTTGCAATGAGGTGTTGTTTTTTATTGGTAAAGGGCAGGCTTTTATTAATTATGATAAAAAGAATGAATATGTGCAGTAAATGCCATACACCTCAAGATATAGACTAGCATTTGCTACCTATTACATTCCTTTTTATAAATGCAACTGGTCAAATTGCAAGTATCCCCAATATGTTTGATCCCTATTCACCCCTTGTCTAACCATTGTGCCAGCCAGTAAATTTGATGTTCTTCGAATCCATAATTAGGTGATTATCAACCTCTTTCCAGCTGCTTTATTTCTCACACAACATTTCTACAATTCCATGGCCTTTTACTAGAATTTGTCAACCACCCCTTTCCTGATGTTAAGTGTTTTACTCAATCTCAAACCCCACACTACTGCAGACACAAACTCTTGTAGAATCTCCAATGCTCATAGGGCTTGAAGAGATAGCTAATGTTGATGACCCTTGATTGTTTCTAATAACTCCAGCAATATCTGATAGTTCAGGAATACCTATGTTGAACCGATTTTTCAATGTGAATTGTTGATACATTTTAAATTGTTTTTTCAGGTTGTCTTATTTATGAACTTTTCTCTGGTATGAGATTGGCAAAAACGGAGGATCTACGTAACACTGCTTCCATTTCAAAGGTGAACATTTTGCAGCCTCATTGAGGTTTTCCTGGTTGTTAAGTGTGGGACTAGCCTTGTGACCCTTTGTGTTGCTGTATGGAATGTCAGGCAACTGAGTTAGCTGTTTTAGCCCCAAAAGAAAGAAGTAAACTGCTGAACTTCATGAATAAGCTATTAACACATTTTGGGGTCCATACCAGAGAATTTATGTTTCATAGTTAACATGGTAATATTTTAAAATGAGACATCCATTTGGCTGAAAACTTGTCATTGCTCAGAAAGCTCTTTATCTGAATACACTGAATTAAGAGGACTTCATGTATGGAAGTTAGTGTTTGTTTTTATACATGTAACATGATGTGTGTTTTAAGAAGTTTATTATCTTTTCTACTCTTGGAAGCATTCAGTTCCATCTGCATTTATCCATTTTTCTTCTCTCACAGTCTCTACTTCCAGATTATCAGAGACTATTGAGTTCTACTCCTGCTCGCAGATTGAATGCTTCAAAGCTTATAGATAACAGTGGTGAGTTCTTTTCTTCTCTAACCTTGTTCAGTTGATTTCCAGAGAATAGTCTGTTTTCTAAGGAGTTTTTGCATGCAGCTCATGGATGGGAGCAACTTTTGAGGATCGTTTGTTTTACTCTGTAGTCTGTTCTAACTAATTAGTCTGCAATTTATGTAGATTGTTGAAGGTTTTTTACCCATTTCTATCCCCCTGTACCATGGGATCAGTGACATTTACCCCCCTGAACTTGTTCATTTTGTGACAAATACCCCCTCTGTTAGAATTCCATTAGTTAACTTCAAAAAAGATTCTCATTGATCTGTTAAAAAAATTTTAAATCCCCAAACTACACTTTTCTTATTTATGTGAATGATTTATGTTTCATTTGGTTTTCTAAATATAATATTGAAGTCCTCTCAGTTTCTCTAATCTGGCTGGATTCAATATTCAAATGAAATGGTAGAGGTTTCTTTCTGATAGATATAAATTTAAGGTTTCATTTGGTTTTTCTTAATTTATTGGAGAAAGGAGTGCATAATTTTTATATTTTAAGATGAAGAGAGACATTCATGTTAGTAAAATGAAACAAGAATTTAAAGAAACTTGTTTTTCTATTTCAATGGAATGATTCTTGTTATTTTATCCTATGGAGATGCACAAGGGCAGCGGTGTGTTGGACAATTTGGGAGGAGAGGAACCAGAGAATATTTCTTGAAAAAGAAAGAAGCAGAGGAGCTGTCACCAGAGCTATTATCATTAAGGTGGTTCATTGGGCTAAGTCACTAGATCTTTTTAAGGATATTCCCATCATTGAGGTGATGAGAAAGTGGAAAGAGTCATCTGATTCTGCTCCAGGTAAGGAGGTGGTCATGCCTTTTTGGTCGCCACCCATTAGAGGTTTTATTAAGCTCAACTTTGGTGGTAGTAATGAAGGCAATCCAGGTCCATCTGGCATAGGTGGAGTTTTTAGGAATGGGGGGCGAGGGGGAATATTATTGCACTATATTCAGGTCCAGTTGGAGTTGGGGACTTGTTAAAGGGCTGAAATCATGGCTGTTATGGAAGGGTTAAAAAGGCTAAAGAGCTTGTTATGCAGGAGAGAAGAAGGGAGGAAGAGAGAAGAGAGAGAGAAGAAGAGAGAAGAGAGAACTGAGAGCCAAAAGTACTGCTAGCGGTGCCAGCTTTTGATATATATATATATATATATACTAGGGCGACAGAACATAAAAAATAAAAGGAGGAAAGTACAATAGTACCCCTGCGGTACTATACTTAGATAAATAACAGTCTTTTAACACTCCCCCTCAAGTTGGGACATAGATGTCAATCATGCCCAACTTGTCACATAAATCATGATGCCGTGAGTGGTGTAACCCTTTTGTAAAGATGTCTGCAAGTTGATCTTCAGAGCTAACATAAGGAGTACACACTTCCCCTATGACGACCTTTTCTCTGATAAAGTGTTTGTTGACTTCGACGTGTTTAGTTCTATCATGCAACACCGGATTAGCAGCAATGTTTATGGCTGCTTTGTTATCATAGAATAGGGTCATAGGTGGTTTGTCAACTGGAAAACCTTACTCACTCAACAATTTTTTTACCACATAATTTCAGCCACTCCATGAGACATTGCCCGATATTCAGCTTCAGCACTAGATCTAGCTACCACATTCTGCTTTTTGCTTCTCTAGGTAACTAGATTACCTCCTATAAAGGTACAATAGCCACTGGTTGACTTTTTGTCATTCTGAGATCTTGCCCAATCTGCATCAATATACACTTCAACTTTCAAATGTCCATATTTTTGAAACAACAAGCCTGCACCTGGGAACTTCTTAAGATATCTGAGAACTCTTTCTACTACTTCAAGATGGGTAGTCTTAGGGGCATGCATGAACTGGCTAAGAACTTCCATTGCATAAGCTATGTCTGGTCGAGTCATAGAAAGATATAACAGTCTTCGTACAAGTCTCTGGAATAGTTTCACATCCTTGATGGGTTCACCTTGACAGTCACCTAGTGTGTGGTTAGGATCAATAGGGGAATCAACTGGCTTCGCTCCCAATTTTCCCGTATCCTGGAGTAGATCTAGGACATACTTTCTTTGGTAAATGAAGATACCCCTTTGTGAGCGGGCCACTTCAATCCCAAGGAAGTACCTTAGAGGACCTAGATCCTTCATTTCAAACTGGATAGCAAGAAAATTCTTCAACTTCTGAATTTCATCCTTTTAATAACCAATGATAACTATATCATCAACATATACTATCAGTGCTGCAATTTTCCCTTCCCCTCTTTTCACAAACAATGTGTGATCAGATTGACACTGCTTGTATCCTCTTTGTTGTACTGCTACATGGAACCTACTGAACAAGGCTCTTGGTGATTGTTTCAGCCCATATAATGATTTCTTTAACCTGCACACTTTTTGTTCATTACCTTGAGCCTGAAAACCAGGGGTTGTACCATGTATACTTCCTCTTCAAGGTCACCATTCAGAAAGGCATTCATGATGTCAAGCTGATGAAGATCCCAGCCAAGATTAGCAGCAAGGGAGAAAAGGACTCTAAATGGAGTTCATCTTAGCAAAAGGTGCAAATGTTTCTGCATAATCTATTCTATATACTTGTGTAAACCCGTTTGCCACTAAACGAGCTTTATACCGTTCCACAGTGCCATCATCTTTGTGTTTAACCATGAAAACCCATTTACATCCAACTGGATCCTTCCCCTCAGGAAGATCTACTAGTTCTCATGTGCCATTTTTATGTAACACATTAATTTCTTCCTTCATAGTATCTGTCCATTTAGGTACCGAAAGAGCTTCTACCACATTCTTAGGGATAGGGACACTGTCAATGGAAGAGAGAAAGGCCCGAAAAGAGGGTGAAATGTTTTCATAAGAAACAATGTGGGAAATAGGGTGTTTAGTGGTGCAAGATCTAACACCTTTCCAGTGAGCAATAGGAAGGTCAAGGTCATTAGCAACAGAAGTATCAATGGCAATAGGGTTAGGAACATCAACAGGAACCAATGTATTTGAATGGGTATGATCTGCCCCCAGAGAGTTTAATGGCATTGGTGGTACAGTTTCTAGGTGCCCCATAGCTCTTGAACACGGTTGGCCTTTGTGATGACAAAAGAAGACACGAAAGGGAGGAGGATCAGGAAGAGGAGGGAGCTGAACTAGTTTCTCCTCATTCCTACACTCCCCCTGAGGAGAAACAGGGAAGAAAGGCTCACTCTCAAAAAAGGAGACATCCATAGAGACATAAAATTTCCGAGAAACAGGATCAAAGCGTCGGTGTCCCTTCTGAGTGAAGGAGTACCCCAAGAAGATGCAAGGAATGGCACGAGGATCTAATTTTCCATGAGTGGGTGGCAGATTTTGAACAAAACAACGACAACCAAACACACGAGGAGGAATAGAAAGAAGGGGGGCCTTAGGAAAAAGAAGTTAATGTGGGGCTTTGCACTCTAACCAATGAGAGGGCATGTGGTTGATGAGATATGTAGCACAAAGGACAGCCTCAAGCCAAAAACGTTTCGAGACATTCATATGAAATAGTAACTCCCGGGCCACTTCAAGAAGGTGTCGGTTCTTTCTTTTAGCAACACCATTTTGTTGTGGTGTCCGGGCACAAGAGCTACGGTGAAGTGAGCCACGAGAAGCAAAAAATTCCGTAAGATCACTATGAAAATATTCTTTGGCATTGTCCGATTGAAAAATTTGGATTTCAGTTTGAAATTGGGTGAAGATCATCTGCTGAAAATCTTGGATAATTTTAGGTACTTCATCCTTGGTTCGCATGGGATATACCCATGTATATCTGGAGTAATCATCGATAAGGGTAAGAAAATACTTGTAGCCACTCTCAGATGGTAAAGTAACAGGGCCCCAAACATCAGAATGAACAATGTGGAAAGGAAATTCAGATTTATTATTCTTTGAAGAGAAATGAGTTTTACACTATTTACTCAATTGACAAGTTTGACAAGTAAATTCTGACACTGATACTGACTTAAACAACCTTGGAAACACAATTTTTAAAAACTCAAAAGATAAATGACCAAGACGACTATGCCATAAGTAAACTTGACAATTACAAGGCTGACTCTTAAACTCTATGACTTGAAGACCGGCCTTATTCTCCACCATGTAAAGCCCATCCACCATACATCCTCTACCAATCATCTTCCCCGATGCTAGATCTTGGATCACACAGGGAAAAAAGTCACTGAGCAGTTTAAGGAATTAGTAATACTATTAACAGAGAACAAATTAATGGGAAAATTTGGGACATGTAAAACATTAGACAGGGTAAGGCCAAAGGGAAGAGAGATGGTTCCTTGACCAGCTATGGTAGAGTATGATCCATCAGCTAGTCTCACCTTGTCTCTTCCAGATAGGAGGTGATCGGTTTGAAAGTAAGAGGACTTACCAGTCATGTGTCTAGACGCTCCAGAATCAATGATCCAAGGAGAGTTAGGGGAATGAGATTCTACATGGAAAGCTGTGGCAGAGTTACCTGATGTAGACGCAAATGAAGTTGAGGGAGGAGCATCCATTTGACGAGTTGCTTTACCATAGAGCTCTAAATGGTCACGGAAGGAATTAATAATATCCTCCCTTGGGTCAGATCCAGATGATTTGTTCTGGCAACTCTATCCTTTTTTGGGAGGATATTTGGGTAGGAGACTCACCGTTAAWGGATTTGTTCCCCTCGCTTTTTTCTATTTCTTTGTACAAAAAAGAGRTGGTCTCAAAATTTGTCTCACCCTTGGGAACACCCTTAGATCCTACTTGGGATTTTGGTTTTCGTAGAGGACTTAGGGATGCTGAAATTGAGTCTCTTTCTTT